TGGAGGATGAAAAAGACAAAACACAAGATAATCCCCAAAGTGCTTGAGGGTCCTGCCCTCACCATGATGACAGACTGGAACGATGCACCAAATAGGTCCAAAACCTTGCACTCTTGATTACCCAGGTCCCCAAATGAACACAAGTCCCCAAGACAAAGCACCAAGAATCAACTTTTTTGATGGCCAACAGAAACTATCTAATAGCTGTTACTAAATGGAGTTTGAATAAAACCAGATACAGAGATAATGAATGTTCGGCTAGAATTCATTTGTCAAGTCACAAAGGAAATAAGGAATGAGGTCTAGTGGCCAAAATTCCCTTGGCTCAGGATCCAAATGAAAGCAGAGAGAAAAATTGTGGGGTGCGGGAGGTGGGGGTGGGGGAGGGCTGTCTTCTCACTGACATAACTTGCTATTCCCAACATCAGTCAAATAAATGTGAAGAACTTCTTGTGGATTCCTGACAACAGATTTCAGCACAACGAATGAGGTGAGTCATATGCAAAGAACAGTCTCTCTCTGACTCCAGCCAAAGAACACACTTCCCTCGTACACTCAATTCATGGCAACGTGAGCAAAGTTCAAACCTGACTTGGTTACATCTCCTTTTCCAATAATATAGAAAAGGAAGGAGAGCTCTTTTTTTAAAAAAAATATACTGGATTTGAAAAAGTCTCTACTTCACATTATCCCTTACTGGACATGTGTATTTTCAGCATAACCCAGAACTGGACAGCTCTGGCAGGGACGGGGACACAGTCTGCCCAGTGTTTTGCTGTCCAAACGCAGCCACTCTGATTACTGTAAGCCCATCTGATCGGACACTCATGTTTCTCCTTCTGGCCTGTTGGCTGGCAGCGCGCCCTGGGCAGCTAGATGGAGGCACCACAGCACAAATGTTCACACTCCTGGCCATCGCAGAGGGATGAAAAGCCCATGTTGTTCTGTAAGTCTTCCACAAAGGCTTTAAAAATGTGAAGTCCTGTCCTTGAAAAAGTGCAAGTAGATGAAAACTAAGATGCTATTAAATAGGTTAGCAATGGCAACGGACACGTTCACTTGGCTTGCTTTCGGTGAGTTAATTCAGAGTATTTCCTACTATTTTCAATCCTTGATGTTTTTCAGGTGAAAAGAAAACCTGTTCGCTAGTTCTGAAAGGGCTGAAGCCTAACTGATGAAAACCTCATTTACAAGGTTGAATCTCTGAGTGCCCATTGTTTTCTAAGCCCTGATAATAACCACACTCACGCTTGCCCTGCACTCATTAAACCGAGCAGAGATGGGTTCATCTGGTCCTCACTCGGGTGAGTCCTTTACCTATGGGCTTTTTATTGTTAACCTTTTTGTTTTTAAATAAAGAAACGAATTTTACTTTTGCATACAAAATCCTTTAACTATTTCATGAAAGCCTTTCTCACTCTTAAGTCTGGGTTTATTTAAAAGAACATAACATGAGTTTCTGTTCAAATCAGGCTAACTTAATTTGTTGCTAATATAATCATAAGACAATGATTTAGAAGGGTGCTGGGATGGAGCATGGATGCGTACCAAGTCTACTGTACTTTATAATACTGAATTCCTTTTTTATTTTTAAATGCAATTTAGGAATAACATTTCCAGAGGTCTGTATATTTTAAATTTCAGCCCTCACCTGGATAAACATTTTTACTGCCCCCCCCCCTTTCTTTGGTTTTCAGGTTTAGCCTACTCTTCAGTCAGATTCTCAGATTTATAAAATGCAGACCTCCCCCTTTCCTACCCTCCCACCCAAAGGTGAGTCACTGGCGTGTTACAAACTTACTGGCAGAGAACACTACAAATTAACAGAGTAAGTTACCAAAAGAGGATACACCCTCAGGACAGGGTACAGAAAGAACCCAAGGCCCTAGGGCCAGGGTGCTGTCACAGGCACACCAACACTTAGCAGGCTAAGGGTGTGATGCAACCCAACCCTGCTCTGGCCCCAGTTCCTCCTATAACCGCTGCACTTGCTGGCGACCAGGCCTGGGCACCTTTCCACCTCCAGCACTCTGCCTTACAATGTTTTCAGTCTAAAGTACTAACTTTACAGCAGCCAGAGAAGATCTAGTTAGTCGCACTTTCAAGTTGAGCTCCAAAAGGGCAGTTGATAATGTTACCATACAACCAGGATTTCTGCTGACACGTGTACCCCTTGTACAGCCTGCACCTGAACCCTTCTCCCTGCTCCTCTTTAAACCACTACCCATCAGCTAAGATGCATTTTCTAGGTAACTCGGTTAATATTCAAACAATGGATAACTGCAGTGAAGGACCTGGTGACATCCCCTCCCCACCCCCACCCCCATCTTTCCTCAACTTGAGAAGAGTTTCTGTGCACCTTTGTTGAGCTAAATGGTTGTGAGTGGTAGGCCTAGCTGAGGATTTAAGCCAAGTCACTGGCAAAAACACCCGATATGAAAAGAAAAAAGGGACAAAATCCTGTTTCATCCAGAAATGATTCAGCTGTTCTTTCATTTTCCTACCAAAAGCTCGGGAACTAAATTTTTTTAAGGAGAAATAAAATCACCTGAAATCTCACCAAAACCTAGGCTCCCAACAGTAGTAGGAAGAGGACGGGAAGAAGTGAACAATGACCTTAAAAATTAGCTGCCAGCACAGGCTTCCTGGTTAACCAATTATCAGCTGGGCTTTAGTCATCACTCCACCCACATTTTAATCCCCATGTGGAAAAATCCCAACATTTCAGTATAAAATAGCCTTCTGAACATTTGGACTGTCACAGTCAGTCACCGGGGACAGAAAGGCTACCCTTTATCCCAGGAGAATCACCACC